CATCGCCATAGCTTTCCGAGAAAAATTAGAGACGACCATGGGTCCTGTTTTTTATCTCACGATTTTAAACTTTTTTGTGAAAATTTTAATATAGTGATGATTTATTATTGTACAACGGGCGATCATAGATCAAACAGACTCGTAAAATTAAATCTTCTTGCCATGTCTTACGAATTATCAAAAATTGACTTTCAACTCTTCGGTCGAAAAAATCATTTGGAACCTTCGAGTTACCAAACAACCGTCCAGTAGGTGCACCCCATTCGAAAAAAAAATCACTTCAACCTCACTGCTAACAAGAGATGAAAAACCCCGATTTCTTTTAATCGTTGAGACCAAGGAAAGTCAATCATATCAGACCACCGGGCAAAAAATTGGGAGTAACAGGACGGAGCAGAGGACGGATACGAAGACGCGGTCTTGGATTCCTCCTCAGATTCGGACATCCCTCTGGCAAAGATCAACACGAACCAAGCGCCACATGGAAGTCGAGCAACCCCGATGCCGATCTCTATTGGGAAAAGACCTGCTCTAACAAAATTGACCACTGGAAGTAACTTTTTTTTTAGAAAAAACACCAACCGACAAAAACGGATACCGTAGTTTAATCTAGTTAAAGAGGCGATTGTTGATTCTTCGAACCACACAGTCACTTTAGAAAATGGACATATTTATTGCAAATCCGACCTAGCCATAAAAGGGAAAACACTTCGGGGCCCTTCTAAGATCCTTGTTTATTACCACCCAATAGGTAACGATTCTTCTTGCTTCCCAAGTTTAGCCGCCAAGAGGAAATTATCCTCGCCTAAGAAGTCAACTAGAGCCATCCTACAGAAGAATACGAACAGTGCGAATATGACTGGCGAAAACCCGACGCCCATACAGACGACCACAAGCAGGTCGACAGAAGTTATTGTCATTCCGGTTTCACCTCAGAAATCGTCAGGCTCAACCTCTTCGTATTCGTCACTAAATCTAAACTCATGGGACGGCTTAGTCGACGAGAATCTCAAGGATGTTTCAAATAATAATACTCCATTTAACCAGAATCTTGACAATTTTGTCGATTCAAGTGTTACAGGTGAAGAAGTACCCAGCGGGCCATCAGTCACCACTCTAAACAGCAGTCTTCCTGGACCATCAACAATCGATTCCGCACTAGAGCTAATAGTGCTGGAGAGCAGACCAGAGGAAACGCCTCCTGTTGCCACCTAGTCAAGACCAACATCAAGATCACGAAGAAATGTGGGACCACCTCAGTTCTACGATGAGCGCCGATATGTAGATATAGTTGAGAGCGCTGAGACACACGGACACGAACCAAGTCCCGTATCGTCACCTGCTTTCTTGCGCTGGTCTTTATCGGACTTCCTCACTCCCCTCGCAAAAGCCCCCCATAGACAGTTGTTGGTCGCTGAAACAACGCTCACGTGGTCATCAAATTCTACTCCCACGGGGTACGTTCAGAAATCTAATTTGACCCCATCTTCGTGGAAGTCTCTCACCGGGAAATCACCGAACGTAGTCGAAGAACAAGATTCCGGGAGCAAAATATCGTCGACAATAGACCAGGACGTGCGACAATCCTTGGATGAATTTGACGCTACATAAAAATAAAAACGAACGAATCTTAATTAAAACTCTTATTTCCATTTTCCCCATTTTACATTTTTCTTTTCTTAATTCTTCGTCATACTGTTTTAATCATTGTGCACCTTGTGTACATTTTGTAACTTAAAGATATTTTATCCCTGTGTATATTTAGTGTAGAGTAGGTAGATTCTGTAAAAAAAAAATCAGCCATTTGTGCATATTTGCACATACCAACCTTAATTGTAGATATCAAATTTTCGTTCTGTTCATTTCAATTTGTTTTGTGCATTATGTAAACTTTGTTTATCTCCACTTTGAAGGGAGAATTGAGTGTATTTAGATGTAGTTTAGCTAATTGTGAAATTTTAAATTTTTTATCCGTTGGTGAATTTTGTGAGTTTTAACCATAGGACCTTTAGTTTTGATTAGGTACCTGCTAAGTATGTTTCATATCGACCATGTTTTATTGATCTTTCAGATTAGGCATCCGTAAATCATTCTGAATCATGTTAGTTTTTTTTCGTTCCTTAGTTAGTGTACATAATTTTCATATTCTGGGAGTAATATTAGAAATGTTTATTAGTATCAAATGACGGTCATTTGAACTAGTGTTATATCCACAGTTTGTTTGCGCAAATTTTGGAATTTTTATTGTAGATTTTTTCGTTATTAGCCTTTTTTTCAGTTCTGCCGAGCAATTGGCCAAGAAAACATGATCGCGCATTCGGCCAAGACAGCCTACACTATGTGAACAAATTTTTTTGCAAAACAGAAGGATACGATTGAATTGCTCTGAATCATTTTGTTCAGAGGATACTCAGTTGACTTAAAAATCTTTAATCAAGATTTCTTTTAGAGGTATTTTCATAAACGAGTAGTCCATAGTCAAAAACAGGTGCAATGCACGCGGTTTAAAACTTAAAAAAGATATTTTTGAGAAACTTTTGAGAAATTTCACATCTCCTACAAAGTATATTGTATCTTTGAGTCTAGCTAATTGTTGGCAAAAAGTATCTTCATGATCTTTAAGACTCACTTTAATTTCGATCAAAAAATCTCAGATACTTGAAAGTAGCATCGGGCATAAGTTAGGATTCAACCTGAAACTAAAACTTGAAACGCTATTTGTTTGACAAAGCACGAAATTTTTCACTCAGTGGAATTTATTATAATTTGATTTTGTAACATCAGTCATACAAAAATCAAGCCCTAATTGTTTGATTCCGTCAATTTTTAGTTTGCCAAATAGTAGTTAAGTAGTTTCAAGGCAGACCTCAGGTTACAGCTTTCTTTCATATGCGTTCATCAGAACTGCAAAATTAGCTCTGGAAAGCAAATCTAAAAAAATCAATTATGCGGGTTTACAAACTTGCACAAACAAAGCAAGGGTCTTGCGTGGGCAAACAAAGCAAGGGTTTTGCGTGTTTTGTGAGTCCGTAATAATTTCTCCTTTTTATTGGTTTTTAGGCTATAAAAACATTGGGTTTTATGAAAATTCCTGACAACTATACTTTTTGTGCCGAAATTCCTGACAACTATATTTTTTGTGCCGATATCCTTTTTCCAAATAATCGTTTTCATTTGCCGAAGAAATTTCTTTTTTTGGATAGTTTGTTTCTATGGTTGCAAATCAGTAACCAATTTGGAACTCTGAACGGCGTTTCGATCCAATTGACCTTCTTGCACTAAAGCGTTTTAGGGAGAAGCGTGCTAAAACGGTTCTTAGTTTGAAATTTCAACACATTTTGAGTTTTGCAGTGCTAGACATCTGTTCCAATTAAGGAGGGATTTCACTTGTCTGTTTGTCAAGAGGGCAAACTTTATCTTCAATCAGGTGTTGAGCCATTTATTATATTGTTTCGCCCACTCAATATGGTGAGGAACTTTGTATTCGATTGTTTGAATTTTTTTTTTAATTTTTTCAATTTTTTTCTTTCTATTTTCCACGCAAAACCAGGACCATAAACAATCATTGCGCTGAGTTGAGTGATATATCATTTTAAAGCCTTTTCAGTCGTGATTCGAAACGACCTAAAAAAATTTCCCAGTGTCGAGAAAAACCGTTTTGAATTTTTTGGTTATTCGTCCTAATGCGTGCGAATGAAGCAAGCGAGCATACCCGCATCCCGCATCCAGTTTCAAGCGTGAATAATTGATTGTAAGAAGACTTCAGTACTAGTCATACAAAAATTGAGAAAAAATCTCTCTTTTTAAAATCAAATATAATCAAAATCGATTATTTTTATCCGAAATTCTAATTCATTTGTTTTGCAGAAAAAATCCTTTTTATTTGGTTACAATCGTTTATAATCCCCTTTTTTGCCTGTTTTGTTTTCGACTTTGCACCTGAGTTGCTTATATTTTATGCTTTTCGTAGACGTTGGTTCATGTGAAAAAGGGTAAAAATGTTTTAACAGTTTTTAAATCAAATCAAATTTATAACATTTTTCCTCAGTTCTTGGTTATAGTTGTTTCATGATGCAAAATTTAAGTTTTTTTGACCACCAAAACATCATCACACTGCTTTAGCTTCATGAATTATATAGAAGACTTAGATTTCACCTACCGCGGGAATCTTTCAAGTAAAATGAAGGGATCTCTATGAAACTTTTGTTTCGTGGTACAACTTTGTGTTCATATGAATCAAAGAGTGACAAGACATCTGAATATTAGAGATTTATGACAGAAAAAAGGATTATAATCTATTATAATAATTTATAATAGCTTATAAATATTATAAGAGATTATAAGAGATTTTCGGAACAAATAAAAATCAATCACGAAAGTTGTTATCATTATAATGGATAATAGATCGTTTAAACATCTAAATTTGGCGCTTATAACTGATTATATTTTTTCTAAAAGTACAATTATAATTGTAATATGATCGATTATTTTCTCTTTTTACTGAGTGCGGGTATTTAAAAAATATATTATTTCAATAACTTAAATGCTTACAATAGCCAATAGCTTAATTAAAACGTCAAAATTGAAGTTTTGTTTTAGTATCGTCAGTTTTTGTTACAATTTTAGCGCTTTTTTGGAATCAAAAACTTCGAACTTCAAAATATATATATTTTTTTTTTCGTTTTTTTTCAAGTCCTTTCTCTGCAAAATATTATTTTCATTGAGCTTATTTTTCTAGGACTCTCAAATATGCCTAATCTCAAGTTTTTTGTTCAGTTGCTTTTATCGCGTCATGACAAAAAAAAACGACGTTCATTTGAAAAAAAAATTTTGTTTTGTTTTTTAAGGCTATGGTCGTAACATTATATGCTACTTGCACAGTAAACGGCTATCTTTTTTTTTAGAAACCCGATTTCCGTGTAAATTTGCTGCTGTTCAATTTTACTGGTCTGTAAAGGTCAAATTATTATTATGTTGTCCAGAGCAGTTTTAGCTAACACAACGACATTATGCTGGCAAATATTACTTTAACGCTTTGAAATAATAACTAACATTATGACTATGAAGTTTATAGGGCTTGTAATTTTGCTAACAATCAAAGGTGAGTTTTATTATTGTTCTGAAGGATAAGTTTTAAACTTCAGATCATATAAATCAACTGAACAAACAACCAAACCTTGCCTCTGCCCCTAAGATTTCAAGACTTTCAGATCGTTCTTTTTTTCAAAAAAAAATCAAATTCAAAAGTAGTTCAATTGTGAGAGCGTTTTCCGGCAATAGCAAAAGCTCAGTATTACTTTGTCATAGTCTATTTTCTACTATACGGTTTTATAACTGAGCACATATTTGTGCTTTCACGCGTCTGGATTCCACGGATACTTCTTTCGGCGCGTATTCCAGAGACAATGTGTGCGGAAACCAAACCACTACCAAAGCACCCGAGCTTGGCATCGTAATGTTTCAATTGCTGTTTTATTTCAGGCACTTCTTTGGTGGGCGGCGCAGGAGACGGAGGGGGTGGAAGTAATGAAGTGAGGGAGTCTGTGGACTTCCAGATTCCAAACATATTCGAGCCAGTTGGCATAAACTGCAGACAATACAGGTGAATTTTGCATGTATTACATAACTAACCCTTAATTGGCTCTTTTTCCTTCCCCCCCACCTGCAAATTTTATATTTGAAGCTACTGTTCACTTTGTCCAATTGTCTTGAAATTTGAAATGCAGACTTATTAGGCCATAAAAAACATATTTGGTCTTCATAATTAACCTTGTAAAACGATTAGTTAGACCGTAAAATTCATATTTGAGTGAGGTGGGGGAAAAGGAAAAAGAGCCCCTTACGTACCCGGGTGATCTCCATAAACAGAAAATGCCTATCTTAGAATTCTATACACTAAAACAATTATGATACAGTTCCATGCATCGAATCTATGGTAATCATACAATTTTCATGCAATTTCAAAAAATGATTGGAAAAAACTTTAAACTAATTTGTATGAAATAAACATAAGTTTGAAATATACATAACCCAACCCGGGTTGAGTTGACAGGAAACATTATCGCTGATTCAGAGTTATATCAGTTTTGTTGAAAAACTCCTGGCCAATTCAGGCATTCCCATTTTTATGAATTTTTTAGCGATGGTTCAGGGGTTTTTCATGGCTAATTTTCCTAGCAATAATCATGGATAATTTAGCCATGATAAATCCCTGAGAGCGCTGAAAAATTCAAAATTTCGAATTAGATTCAAAGTTTTGTCACGTGTCGTTACCAACTGCTGAAAACAACCTAGAAACGCAGTTTTTATTTCGCGAAAATGTAGAAATGTGTAAGCTTTGGTGGTTAAAATTAATGAGCAACTAAATTTACCGGAAACGCGGCAATTTTTGGTAAGAGTTTTTACAAAATTTTTTTTTGAAAGTGATGCATCCCCTCACAGCTAAAATAAGCTCAAAACAACCTAAAAACAGTTTTTTTTCTCGAAAAAATAGAAATTTGATAGCTTTTGGAACCTGATCTAAACTACATTTTATGATTGGATAAATTAGATATTTTACCAATGTAAAGTATTTAATATTAACCAATCATGATCCATCTGACTAACAATCCACTTATTTGTAAGTGCTGAAATTACTTGTAATTTCAGCACCAGAGAGATTTGAATTTAACTTAGAAATTAGTTGACTCTCCAAGAAGACTTCAGCAACCGCAATAAACCAGTATACCCTAGATCTATTGAGCCTAGCAGAGACTAGTTAAACAACCTGAGACTAGATAGTATAAGAGTAAGAATAGGATTGGTATTAGACTAAGAAGTTGCACGAATCTATCCGGCCGAAAATAAGATAGCGTGACGAGCAGACGGTGTACCCTATCCGAAATTACTCTATGAGTTATACACCACTTCGGTCCTAACTCACTTTGGAAGTTAAAATTGTTGTGAGCGTGACATTTTTTTAGTTGTAGGTGACATTTTTTTAGTTAACCAGCCAGAGGCCTAGCCCAATTAATTAAGGTTAACATGACGTGGGGACATAAATTACGCAGGCGGGTTGGAGGGGGGAATTTAGAAGTGGGGGATGCATCACTTTTTTGTAAAAAAAAATTTTTTTCTTCATATTTTTCATAGTTAACCAGGCAGAGGCCTAGCCCAATTATTTAAGGTTAACTTGACGTGGGGACACAAAATATAACTGAATTTTTCTCTAAATTTTTCATGGCTATTCAAGAATTTTCCAGGAATGAGATATCCCTGATTCATGGGTCTTCAGGGTTATTGCAGTGAAAATCCATCACTGATTCATGGATGATTTTTGGTTGATTCATACCTGAAAATTTAGCGCTAATTCAGCGATGATTTAATCCTGATCATAGACTGAACTATAGATGGTAATCGCTGCGATATCTCTGAATTAGCGATAATTTTTCCTGTTAACTCAACCCGGGAATATAAAACTAACTTCATAATCTCATCATATCAAATGACGCAATTTCAACATGACTGCGAGATGAAATTAGAGATAGTTTTTTTCAGTCGTTGGTTTTGTTTGCTTGGGGTGTGGATCACAACGAGACAAGGACCGCGCCAGCCGCAAGATGGCGACGAAGATTTCATGCGCTCCATTGTACAAAATAATTACAAAAACATCAACTGGTACTCTTTCAAACAAGAAGATGCAGCGAATAGTTAGTTATTTTTATTTACTAAGCCAGCTCAATTTGGTCGGGTGAAAAAGATTCTAAGAAACTGTTGATTTCGAGAGTACAATTAATCGGTTTACTTAGCAAAAAAAAAGAAACGATTATATAATCCAAATTAGGCGGTGTTTTACGAAATTGCTTCAACCATAAATTGACCATTTTCATCGTAATTAGAATATAGTTTACTTTCAATGTCTCAAACAAGAACACACACGAAGTTCGTATTGGTATTTTTATAACTGTCTCTTATGTTATATGTGGACACTTATAAACTGTTTGGACCGAGAGAGCCCCAATGTGACGATGGATAGTCTACATATTTTCAAGAAAGACTAGCTTTTTTTCCCAAAGAAGTAGGGTTTAATTGACTTGGTGCATGTGGAACTTTGCCTTTGGCTCCACCTTTTTAATCATTATAATTTTCATACTTAAGCATTAATTTACTAATTTGTAAGCGCGTAGCGGGTTCTCAAACGAATCTTGATAGTAGTATAATTACAACTAAAACTGACGAAAGCGGTAATCTTTTCATTCTCTATATTTAATTTCCCTGGCAATTTGTTGGAGTGCAGCCTGCATTTAGACAACCGCGTATTCATACTCGTCAGTATTTAGACAAATACTTTATGAACCAATCAGAATCGAGAAAATACATAAATAATCCAAATTAAATAATAATTATTGATTAATTTTTTCTTTGTCTCGATTCTGATTGGTTGAAACAGTATTTGTCTAAATACTGACGAGTCTGAATACGCGGTTGTCTAAATACTGCTATGTAACCCAATTTTTTGAACACCCTAGACAGCACAAGTCGGAAACTCTCGCACCGAAAACCTTTCTTGTAAACTGGAAAACTTGTGTGATCTTGCAGCATCTGTTGCGTGATCTTGCAGCAACAAAAACGCGAGGACGGATGTCTCTGGTTAGGTTTCCAACTTGCTTGATTATGCCTTCAATTTCAGCCGACACAGCCCTTATTTGCTGCAGATGGAAAAGATGTTTTGTTGTTGAATGGCTTTATCTTTTAGGATACTTTCCGGAAAAAAAATGAGTTTTTAGGTACACGCTTCCTGTTAAGCTTGCGGTCAGTTAGAATGAGTGTCTTGAAATCCACGCCTGGACAAAAAACTCAACCCATGCAGCTAGGTTGTACAATTCCACAAAATAAAATTATTTATAACCTAAAAAAAACTTTTTCAACCAGCCAGGGGTGGATGTAGGATTTTCTCGAGGGGGGGGGGGGGGGGGGGGGTGTTGTTTTCAAAAAAACTTCGATAATGTTGTCGACCTTTTTATTAGGTTGACCAAATTGATTTTCCGAGCATTCCCAAATCACCAGAAAGGCTCAATTTTGACGAAACGTTCAGCGCCGCAGGCATTTTTTGAAAAAAAAAACAGGCTAAATAGATGTCTTAGGCACTTTTTAGAAACTTTTGACCAAAAAATCGTTTTTTTTTCCGGCGTGCGCTCTCCTCTCAAATTTAGTGACAAGGTCATCTTTAGAAAAATTTTAGTATCAGTCAGCCAAAACTGAATATCTCAAAACAGTACAAAGGGGGGACCCTTTGAGTCGGTAGGGGGTCGAATCCCTGAGGGAAATGAGCTTCCGCCACTCCACTCGTTCCCCAAATCAGCTGGTGCAACCAGCCGATTGTAGGTTTTCTAAAAATTCTGTAAAAATGTATATCACGGTTGGTTACAGAGATAAGGTCAAAACTCCCCGTTAAGAGTTCGATCTAGAACAGATTTTTCTTTTCCACAACCAAGTTTGGATAAGTCAGATTATATAGATAAAATAGATAACTTGATAAGTTAGATCCGCAACAGACTTTTCCCTTCCATAGACAATTTTTCTTGTTTTATCTATGACCTTCTGAGTTAGAAATTGCAACCGGTTTCCTACGTTAGTTAGTAGCAAAAAATCAAGTGGACATCATGAAAAAAGCAATATTTTGGCTATTTTGATCAAATTTTGCATGAAGTTTTGAATTTTCAGGCGGCCTTGAGACTCCTTAAAAGAAAACAAAGGCTGCTTTAACTCACTCTGATTATGGATTCGAATTACTATAACTTTCTATACAATTTTAGACGGTTGTTGTTCTTACCAAGTGAGCATTTACGTGAAGAATGGCCAGAAACATGGTCTGTCTCCGCGCGACTACTGGACCAGAATCCAGAATCTGGGACTCATGGAACGAAAACTTGTGTATGTCAAGGTCAGCCAAGTCGCGTCAGATCTCATTAACCACCCCCCCCCCCCCCTCTCCCGCTCTACTCTCCCCCTATTGGAAAACGTGGGACAGTTAATTCGTTGTAAAATCTGTATTGGTTTACCATTGATTTTGTGCTTTTTAGGACTTTTTTTAATACCATGAGTGAGGAGAATTTTCCCCGTCAATTATTTCGTTACGTCTTTTTTTGTGGTTATTTAACTCTAGCATTTTTAGGCTATGTGGAATTCGGCTTTGTGTAAAAATATCATCCTTCAAGTCGGCTTCGGCACAGGTCGTCTCAAGGTCATCGGAGGCAAAGGACTGCGACATAAATTCCTAATGCCCCACTTGGGCGATGACGATGAAAACGCGTACATATTTCCTGGAATGGGAATTCGAACTAGGTTGACCTTTGGCTGGTTCATGGTCACTGTTATTTGTGGGGAGAAACCGGAGTTGTGTTCTGAAATGCAAGGGGGAGCTGAAGGCTCCACTCAAATGTTTCTCGAAGAAGGAATGGAGTAAAAAATATGCTTCTCAAATAATCCTCTGAAAGCATAATTTAGTTACAGTTTTTTGATCTACCCTTTTTCAAAATCAAATAGAACTCATATGTTTACTCACTAAAATGCGAAAAACCGCATTTTTTCGGCGCGCGCTTCCACTCAAAATTGGTATATTTTGGCGCCAAAAGCGCCTTTAGAAAAATTTTAGGTTCAGTCAATCAAAACTGGAAATCCCTAAATAGTACAAAGGGGAACCTTTTGGGTCGGCAGGGGGTCGAATCCTTGACGGGGGAGCATACGGGAATAACAGTTTTCTGGTGGCATTTAATTAAATCATACACAACATCAATCAAAAATAAACGCAACCCGACAATAGAGCATTTGTTTCTACAAGATCACTTGCAGCTTCATTGTGACAGTACTGGTGCCACATACAATCAAATGGCAGCGAAAGTAAGGAGCTCACTCCGCGGGTGAAAAACAGTAACTCAAACTAGCTATTGCTTTAATGACTTAGATTGTACAAAAATCACATTTCCATTGATTTCATAGCTTGAAAAAAATTGAGTTTTTTTTAAATTATAAAAGTAATTGAGTTTGTGACCCTTGAAAGTACCCTTTTTCTGGGCACACTGAGTTTTTTTTTTCAATTTGATCCTCTGTTTATAGTCATTTTTTCTATCCCCCGCATGATCTCTTCCCCATCTTGAAAGATATGGTCGATCATGCGAGTTCTCCCCTTTCCCGAAACTGATCTCCGCTTTCGTCCGCTCTGTCGTGATTCCGTTTCAGTCTGATCGTTTGAGACTTGACTTGAATATGAAGCCAGTCTCCGTTTCCTGAACATTGTCCCTGCGAGGGTTCTGCTTCTTCGCACCCACGGCTTTCCTGTGCAATCGATTCCACCATTGGTGCGGTTTTCTTCTCGTGCGCTTCCTGCTGACCAGGCTTAAACGTTTTTTTTTTCAAACCCTGCCTGGCTCCTCGAATTATTTTTTTTTTGAGGAAAATGGCCGCTCTCTTTTGTGACTCGTAGCCAGATTCCAATTCTGAGTCGTCGTCCCAACTTTTCCGCCTTTGGGCATTCTTGCAATCCTCGTAGCCGGTCTGCTAATGTATTTTTTCGTAATTCTGTCTAGTACTGAGCCATCGCCTAGCGTAAATGTATTTTCAACCGCCTTATGTTTATTTTTCGTTGATTCTATCGTTGATTCCTTGGAAAATAATCTCTAAGCAGCGAATCATTAGTTTTTTATCCATTGCGTGCGACACTAACTCCTGTGCCCTCTGATCCTGGTAGTCCACCCACTTTTTAGATCACACATTCGTGGCTTTGCTGCGTTATAAGATGGTGCAAGTTGTCATGATCAAAGCATATGTAATTCCTACCTAGCATATGTAATTCCTACAATCACTTATGGAATTTTATTATGCGGCAATACTTTCCAATCTAACCTTACCGAGATAAGGAAATTACAAAAAAGAAAGTTGAGAGCAATTGATCTACGTTTTGATTAGTGAAAAAGAAGTTGAAATTTAAAAATTCAAAAAATATTTATAAAGTATTTTCATATGTCTGGATATAAAGCCTTTGTTTCGCTAAATTCAGCGGCTGGAAACCGCAGCCTGTTTTTTAGGACTGACCTAGTGTTGTTTGATTTTTATCTAAATTTAAAAAAAAACAATTCTGACTTCAGAAAAAAATTCAGAAAAATTCCATGTAGCCTAAAAAAAGATCATTCAACTAAATTCTTCAATCTGGTTGTTTTTGTCTCTTTGAAATGACTTTTTAGTCTAAGGAAGTCAATTTTTTCCATCAAAGTTTGCGGCAAACCCATAATCGTTAACATTTTTTCTAACTTTTGCTTTGAAGTCAAAAAAGCTTTGAATTCAAATCGTTGTCTCTCAGATTTAGCGACTGACGTTCTGCTACTGAAAAAAGTAAGTGACTTCACTATTTTTTAAAAAGTTTATTACTGGAAAAAAAGCAATGTGAATAGATAAAATAATCATAGAAATGCTAAGTAATTTTATGTAAACATTCTATTCATTTCTTTCGAATAGTTAAAGATATCTATTCGAAACCCCCAGAATTAGCTTGCAACTCAAAAATGCTAATGATTCAGGGTAAGATTAGAAAATCTTATCTTTTTGCATATTCAAAGTTTCTGATACCAATAAAGACATTTTTGATGAACATATTTTAAAATTTTTGCGCATACTCGTACAAGCAGATAACAAAAGCTCCAGTATTTTCTCATCTGAGGTAACTTTTCAATTGTTTCAAAATTACTGCACTGCCATTATGTTATGTTTTATAGATAAGAATTTGGTCAAATTTAATTTTTTCCCAATGGGAAAAAAACATGTTTTGCCCAAAGTCTTCCATTAGAGAAAATTTAATGTCCTACAAAAATAATGGTTGCGTTACTTCAAAATATTTTCGCGTGAGTTTTGTTCGATTGTCGGTTTAATAGGTCATGCGTTGTTTTGAAACACACAATTTGAAAACAAGGATCTTTTTACAATTTCATCTGTAGTCTTACTTTTCACAATTTTATCTGTAGGATACAGCACTTGGTTCGAAAAGGGTCTTTGAAGAGCTTTCAGTTTTTTTAAATTTCATTACTGTGTAAGTTTCTTTCAAAGTAGTTTTTCTTCAAAAACTACTTTTCAGTGGTAATTTTAGAAATAGTGAAAACTTTCTACAGTTACGCACCAGTATAATCACATTAATTGCACTCTTTTTTGCAATTATTCATTGAAACAAAAATCTTTTAAACAGGGACATACTTTTTGACAAGTACTCTGGGTTTGCTTCTGTTGCTTCTGATCAATTCAATAATCCATATAACAGTAATATGATCTCATTTTGATTTTATATTTAGAAAATTAAAAGCACCTGATATCTGATGTTTAAACTTCAAAACAAACGTTAAAATCAACGAGAAGCAATTTTTTGGAAAATGCATGCCACCCCGGTTGACAAAAATGATAATCATAAGACTTTTTATTGGAAAAGAAAAAAATCCCAATAAAATGACATGTCTACTATTGTTTCCCTTGTTGAGTTTGTATAACTACCATAATTTTTACTGGCGCTTTTTCCATAAATGGTATTTTATCATAAGCTTTTTTCAATCGACGAAATATTATTATGTAATTAGTTTTTTCTATGGTTTGCTCTGAACCACAACTAACAATCAAATTCTCCTCTGTGACAACCTCTGCAGATTGAGTCAAAATGTCCGGTTGAGCTACGTTTTGATTAGTGAAAAATAATTTGAAGTAATTTCATGAGTCTGGATATAAAACCTTTGTTTCGCAAAACTCAGTGGCTGGAAACCGCAGCCTGTTTTTTAGGACTGACCTAGTGTTCTTTGTTTTTTATCTAAAATTCAAAAAAAAAACAATTCTGACTTCAAAAAAAAATTCAATGCATTTTTTTTATACTTTTCTGTGTAAAAAACTTTGTCTGGATTCAGTTTGAAGCAAATATTTGAAATTTTTGGGCGCAGTTTTTTATGGAAATGGTCGGTTTGATCATAAAATTGGTTTAGCGACTAAAAAGACAGCCGAGTTTTAAAGAACTTGCATTCAGCAAAAAAAACGTCGAAAATTTTACTTAAAATTATTTAAATTAAAATATAGAAATATGGAACTTGGGAACTCCTAACGCTCTAATAAGTTTTAATGAAGGAACTGTTTCAAGTTATTTCAGTAAAATTTTGCAACAGATCATCTCAGCCTCCAAATTCAATCAAATTGAGTTGCTTGCTAAATCATATTGATTTTTTTTCTGTTAATTTCTCAATAATTCATCCTTATTAAGCGCATGAATTGAAATTTTGTTCGTTTTTTCACTCGTTTTTTTTTCACAGCATAAAAACGTTCATGACAAAACCGAAGGTTAAGCAAATAACTGAATGCCGATTGAAGCCAAAAAATAACAAGACCGCTTGTTCCGATTGCCTGTTAAGGTTTATTGAGCGGTAGTAACATAAAAAACTAAATGCAATGAAATAAAATGAAAAAAAGAACTTCTAAAATTTGAAAATTTTTAATGAAATTATCACCCCACACGCCATTTAAAGAACAAAAAGATTGATTTAGCTCCTTGTAACAAACCAATTATGGCAAATAAATTTCTTTCAACCAATTTGGAACAATTTCAAGACGAATTAAATCTCCGCTTACGCGTTAATATCGCGAAACATATCGAGCGTTAAATGTCCCAAATTTGCCAAAATGGCAATCTTTAAAAACCCCATAACTTAACAAAAAATGATCAGAATTAAAATATTTTTCAAATATAAGCTCAGGACAACAATACCTTTTGAATGATAAAAATTTTGTCAAAAAAAGCCAGTTAAAAAGTCGAAATTTGTCTGAAGAAAAAAAAACCCACCCCGAGCACTAATATTCCGACACTTTCGTATCGAAAGTCTGAACAAAAAAGTTTATTAGATCAACCCAGGTGGACTTCTAAACTGCATTAGAATTAAGTGTGAAGTAAATACAAAAATTATGTATATATCTATCATTTTGAACTCACATTGATTTTGTTAACTAGTAATTGTTCCAGTAAGTAAATTAAACAATTTTTTGATTATCGGCTCTATACTTTGATTGTTTCACACGATTGTCCAAATGTTAGAAAACAAAAAGCATTTCATTAAGCGAACATTTTCTAGCAATTGAACAAACGGATAAATAGTTTTCATATACCTGAGCATACTCACTTTTTCAAAGTATTGTTTATCGACATTTAAAAATTTTTGTCAAATTTTTTCTTTTATTCTTCGTTTATCTTATTGATTTTTTCAGTGAGTAAAGCTTTCGGCATAAAATTTTGTACCTAACAATTTTCAGGCTGAATGTTGCTTTTCAAGAGTAGATCCGTTATTGTTCCGACTTTCGATACGAAAGTAACGAAATATTTGTGCCCGGGGTGGGTTTTTTTTTCTTCAGACAAAGTTCGACTTTTTAACTAGCCATTTTTGACCGAATGTTCAAAAATCAATCAAAAAGTATTGTTGTCCTTAGCTCAAATTTGAAAAGATATTTTACCTATGATTATTATTCGTAAAGTAATGGGGGTTTAAAGATTGCCATTTTGGCTAATTTGTGACAATTATCGCGCGATATATCTTGCACTATTAACGCGTCAGCGGAGATTTAATCCAGGTTAGAAATCGTTCCAAATTGGTTGTATCAAGCGTATTTGCCATAATTGGTTTGTTACAAGGAGCTAAATCTATCTTTTTGTACATTAAATGGCGTGTGGGGGGACGATTTTCTTTAAAAAATTTCAAATTAAAGAAAATTTCGTTTTATTTTATTACATTTAATTTTTTAATGTTATTACTGCTCCATTAAACCTTAAAAGGCAGTCGGACCATTCAGGGCTTCGCCCTGATACTAGCAGTCTTGTTTAAATTACTTCTCAAGAAGCAAACTTTTACGCCCCAGTTTATTTGGCGATTGAACAATTGAAAGTTTCCCGTCCTAATTGGCTGTTGAAATTAACTAAGGTGGGGCAAGACACACTTCAGGTTTTTAGTAAAATAAGATGCTTCCTTAACGGCATTTTTTG